TTTGGATATAGGTTGGATATGAATCATATGAGTTATTTTACTTAAAAAAAATTTAGATATAAATTTTTGAGTTTGATACTTATTTAAATACTTAAAGATTTATACTCAATATTTAACTTAACAAATACTAGAGAACATAGGGTATATATTTGTATACTTGACTTAAGAAAAAAAAAAAGATAAAATAAAGATCTTGTATGAGTTGTTATTATTATATGTATAATGTGTTTATAAATAAAATATTAATAAATTATGAATATACACGTATCGAATACTTTTCCCCCTTGCAATAATGTTCTGCTCCTATTTTATTTCTATTCCGTTTAATTTAAGCCGAAATATTGAAGCAGTAGGTGGTTAGATAGAAAAGCACCACAATTTGCCATATATTATAAACAGAAAAATCCAAAGTTGATTGATGTAAATGAAATTTCTAAATGGCGCACTACGATATATAAAACAAAGACTGCATCTGAGAAGACTCTTGCTGTGTATGAAATTTCTAAATGGCGCACTACGATATATAAAACAAAGACTGCATCAGAGAAGACTGTTGTTGTATATGAAATTTCAAAATGGCGCACTACAATATATAAAACAAATACTGAACTGGAGAATACTGTTGCTGTATATGAAATTTTAAAATAGCACACTATGATATATAAAACAAAGACTGCATCGAAGAAGATTGTTGCTGTATATGAAATTTCAAAATGGCGCACTACGATATATAAAGGCAAAACCATAAGTTAAGCCTCTAAACTAACTCCATAATCGCTATTAAGCCCCTACACTTCAATTGATGCATATAAGTCCTTAAACTCTAGGATCAAGGTAGGAAGTTGATATCGTACCGTACCGATTGATATGACCGGTACGTATCAGTTTTTGTATTAAATCGAATTGATATGTAATCTAATTTTGTTTAGGTCAAATTTCGATCATTTCAATCAAATTTCGACATACTGATCGATATTTTCGTGTACTAGCCAATATTTCGATGTACCGATCGGTACAGGAAAATTGGTCTATATAATTCAATTTAAATTTAAAAAGAGGTAAATTTCATTTTTGATCCTCAACATTAATGCTTTACATAATTTTCGTCTTTTAAATTTTTAGTGTACTTTTTTAGTCATCAACTATGAAAAATGTTTTTTTTTTTTAATATTTCTATCAATTACTCTGTTAAGTTTGTCTAAATATACATATTTTTAATCCCTTAACTTAAAGTGGATTGACAAAAAATATGCATATATTAGAAGTTAAGGGGCTAAAAATGATCATTTTAAACTTATTTTCAATTTATAAGAATATAATGATTTTAAACATTAGTATCTCTTATCTTATTTTAAAATTTGATATTTAATTTATAAAAATATATATTTATAATGATAAATCCAAAATGACACACAAAAAATTTTGATATCTGATGTGTACCATTTCAATAATAAAATTAATACGTATGTCGGTATGGTATTGACTGCCTTGGATCAAAGGCCAACTTAACTGTCGTTTGGGACTCCGTCTCCTAGCTTAACTGTCATTTGGGACACACTCGCTTGGCTGCTTGGATGGCAAAAGATTGTCATGTCATGCTTAAATGACAAGGGATTTGACATTTGAACATGATTTTTGAGTTATTTGATCATTTAATTTTTAACTCAAATAAAGTCTAAATAAAATAAAATAATATATTTTTAGGTAAAAATATTATTTAAATAAAATCATAAATCATAAATTTAAATTTAATAAATATTGTAATAGATATTAAAAAAATTTTATGTGATTTATTGG